GATGCATAAATTTCAAAAATCACAACTATAGGAAATGGTGTTATTCTGCCAAGCCACTATTAGAAGCTACTTGGATTTCTGCAATGTATTTTGTATTAAACCCTGTGTAAGCTCAGTGAATATTCTTTGGACAAAGCATGATTCACCATTGTTTAAACTTTTCTTGCCTTGAAGTTCAGTCATACAAAAAGTTGTGCTTTTTGCAAAAACTACTACAACACCAGTTTACACAAACTTTTAAAAAGAAGGTTTTAAATGGTTGTAATTTGTAGGACATGCAATATTACTTATGGTACAGTAGGTGAAAATGACACCTCAGTAATACTAAAGCTCCAGATTACTTCACATGTTCCTGGGTCAATATGAGGTAGTACAAAAAAATCTTATAAACAAATCATGTTCAAAAGGAGACCAAATAGGAGGGAGATATGCATATTTGCCTTCAGAGCCCTGGTGCTTTGCTGCTTGTTAACTTGTGCTTTGTTTTTGTCAGTTACAAGTTATGAAAAGGATCCAATAATGAGAAGCTGCAATACAACTGGCCCTTTGTGCTCCTCTCAGCTTGCAAATATTCAATTGAAATTCTAGGACTGCTGAGATTTTAAAACACATGCTTGCTAAGATTTCACTTTCACAGTTAAAAAGTGTGTTTTGTGCATTTCACATACACAAACAGAAGTGTATTCTTATTGCTCATTTTAAAGAAAGAGGTGTACAAATGTCTCTCCATTCTAGTACTCTAGCCATCAAGATGTTGTCATATGCATTTCATACTTAAATGCATACTGAGCTTCAAATTTTCATTTAGGCTGAATACACCCAAGCCATTTTGACATCCTAGAATGGGTACATTCCTAAGCATCTTTACAGTATGAAAATGGCAGTGTTTACCTAGCCAATACACTACTCTAACAACGACAATGACAATAATGATAATAATACCCCACCACCATCTCCTTGAAGGGACTCAGGGTGGCTTACATGCGGGCCCAAGCCCAGAGTAAACAACAGAGTTTACCAACTAAAACACAGTTAAAAACATAACATATTACAATCTAATTAAACAATTAAAAACAACAAGGTAGAAAAACATCATTAAAATATATCAAAAACAAACCTCAACAATCAACAACTAGGAATATGATGGGCATGATCAGAATTAGAGAGGCTGGTCATGAACTTGTGCACAAAGGAGACTACAGGGTCAGGGCTGGGGGCAAAGTGCTGAATACAATCTATCAATCAATTAGGGCTGGGAGTTCATGAACAGGGGTCTAACTATCATCAAATGCACACTAGAACATCCAGGTTTTCAGGTCCATGTGGAAGGTGCACAGAGTAGGGGCCAGCCTTATCTCCCAGGGAAGGGGGTTCAAGAGCTGAGGAGCCACTACCAAGAAGGCCCTCTCCATCATCCCCACCAACCAATCCTCTGACGGTGGCAGAAGCGAGAGGAAGGTCTCCCCATCAGATCTTAAGGCCTGCACCGGTTCATAGGGGAAAATGCGGTCGCGAAGATAACAATGCAAGTAGCACATATTTCCTTCCCCTTCACAAGCATACATTCTGTCAGAGGATTTATTAAGTTCAACAATTTGTTACAACTATCACAATCTAAGATTGTTGAAAAAAATAAGGAAATCCTTCCAAATTATTATATTTTTCCATACTGTTTTAGATAAATTGAAGATGATGTTGATGTAAAAGTTCCTTCACTCTTTAATTTCTTCACATATTACTTGGCCTTAACAATTCTTCCTAAAGTAGTATCACAAGCATTTTTTCACTTGCAAAGTTGAATGCATTATAGTATTCGTTGCAGGTTCATATAGCAGACCAATCAAATATGCATAGACAGGGGTTTTTGATGCAGCCCACACAATCCTATTCAGCTATAAAGTCATTCTGGATTATTTCTATCATTAGATGATCTGGTAAATTGAAGTTGACTAACATGTTGTGTGCAACAAAATCACACTTTTTGCTAGTTTGATATAGAATCAGCAACATTCAGTGGCACACATTTTTAAAGTTTTTTTTTACTTTAAAAATGTATGCAACTGAAAAGCAGCAAAATGAAAGTGCATGTCAATCTAACATGATTGAAAGAATAAAAATACCCTTGTTAATTATACAGTTATAACCTAATTTTAAAGATTAAAGCATTGGCAGACATGAAAAACTTGACCCTTTATTTACAATGGTATCATGATTTTTATATTAGTCAAAAAGAAAAATGGACAACAATCATAAACCAACTCCAGAGAGGTTAGTAGAGGAAAGAATGCTATCAGTAATCAGAGAAATCAACTCAATAATAGATTTATCACGGCAAATACATTATACTATAAGTTAATGTTATCCATATAGGTAAATAGAAATCTACATGATGGTGCTAATATGCCATGAGCTCAAAATTGATAGACTGCTTAGATTTCCTGTCCACTGCTCTATTAAAATAGATTTTGTACTTCTAATGTCAGCATATTCACTTTTTGGTAATCAGCAGTACATGATGTCTAGGATTTTGAAAGGCCTTACGTAGTTCAGAAGGATATTCATGTCAGAATATTTTAGTGACATTTTACCCCAAATCTACACAAATACAACACACCTCCAGAAACTTTGCTACTAGCACTACCATATCAAATAAAAAAATGAAGCAAACTTGAGCTTGCAACATTAGCATTCATTCAACTCTTTCAGACTTAGAATCTAAAAATTGATATTTAGAACAATATCAGTTTCTGGTGTGTTACATCTGATTAAAGAGCCAATGTGGAAATGCAAACAAAAACAAGAATTTGTTCCATTAATGTTTATATACTGAGTGTTCCAGTTTCATGTCATAATTTCTCTTAAGGGTCTCTTTATTTGAAAACTTCCTTGTAGCCATTTATGCATAATAACTGCAGGAAACTTTGCATCTTGCTCTGGAGTTTTGTACTCTTGTACCCCAGTGTTCAAAGCCATGTTCAATCATGGACTCCTATCACGTATTGGGCAAGTCACACTTTGAGCCTTAAGAGGAGGAATGGCAAACCTTCTCTGAGTGAATCCCAGCAACAAAATCCTATGATATAGCTATAATATACGACAGGCATATAAATATGGGGGGGGGGGGGGACCAACTAAAAAGTCCAACCTTCTCTTTATTATTGCTTATTTGCACATTTTTGTTCAAAATTTAACAGCAAACAAATGCACAAAGTTTATGTATGCATGCAGATGTCTTGTTTATGTAGTATAAAATTATTTATGCAGCACCAATATACATCACTTTATATAAAGCTTCACAAGCTATAATAATAAAACAAGTCTTTGTTCAAAGGAGTTTGCAAACTAAAATGACAATGCAGAAAACTGCAAATAAACTTATTAACAAGTACATCTGAGCAAAGTGTTCCTAACTTAACTATAAAGCTTATTCACAAGTAAAATTTCACTACGCGATAGATAAGTAGAACAAATAACATGTTCAATATCAAAGTTTGTTGAACATTATTGCATTATTCTTGCTTACTAATCCAATTTGCCCTTGCAAACTCCTGAAGAAAATAAGCATTACAATATAACTCTCCAAGATCCCAAGCTAAAACTACTCCTTGATCAGTCCTCAAAAGACAAAGATAAAATAAATGTTTTCCCATAGTGTAAACAGCCTTCATCACATTTAGAATGATTGAAACCTCTCTCTGTGGGTACACGCTATTTCCCCTTCTGTGCAGTTGAGGGCAAATTTCCATTTTGTTTAATTAACTGCAATGTATGTTGTTTGAACCCATTTTGTGGGTAAGCTTCATGACCCATGAATAGAATCTAGCCTGTTTTATACAAACTATCATTAAAATTAATCAGTCTTTGATTCAACCCAGGTAACCATCAATGTCCATGAAAGACTTACAGCATACTTGCTAATAGGGAGCTCTGTTGTAAACTACTTGTTTAGTCCTAGATAGATATGCATGAGATTGCAAGCTAAGAATACAATTAATAGTAATTTAGAATGACCCAGTGTTTCCCCCACTGAGAGTTGTTCTAATACAACCCAAAGGAGAGATGACAAATGTAGGGGTTCCAGGCCACATGCAGATGTATCTCTTTATCTGCCTTTATTTATCTCCTGACCTCAAAGTTCCTTTACTTTCCTCCAATTCTTTTTGTCAGCCAAAACCTAAAAAAAATTAACCCAATTGACGGGAGTTCTCCATTTGCAGCAAGTGTGCTTTGTTAAGGTATACAGAAAACTGGGTGAGATTTTGGAAGGATCAACAGCAAGGTTAAGGTAGATGTATGTGTAAGGGTCCACATGCAGATGTGTTGCATGAGTTAATAGATGCGAGTGATTTCTCTTGCTGCAATCAATACGGTATAACTACAGAGGTCTGAGTATACCATTTGACGCTCTTTACAAACTGCTGTTGAGGATGTCGAGCTGTTTTTTTTCTTACAGACTGTTGATACAATACAATGCTCTCTGAAAAGGACAATTTGTTTGGTAAGTAAATTGCTGAGTTAAGCTATATTTTGTTTTGAATGCTGAAGGAGTATATTTTCTGCTACATCTGGATAAAGCTGTTTATTTTCTTCTCTGCTGAAACTCTGCTGTAAAGAGTAAAGGAATTTTCCTTTTGCACAAATCTACTGCGACCTTGGTGTCATTTTATCTTCAAGGACATGATGCTTGAACTTTAAGTTTGGTGCTATAGAGGGACAGATTGTTTTCTGGCACTAAATGCAACTTCACAATAAAAACAGAGTTCTGGTAGCAAGGTGTAATTGATTTGTAACCAAGCATTGGACACTGGCCTACCATGGGTCCAGAGAGGATAATTGGTCCTTGCAGGTGCCCCAGTCAATTGTATTTGTTTGAAGTGATCAAGCCAAGAAACTTCTAACCACATGTATGGTTATGTACAAATCAGAAAATGAATGTTATCGGAAGAAGAATATCATATTTGGCTTTGTGTCCCAAAGAACTAAAATAAAATGCTTCTTACCATGGCTATGGACTGATCCTGGACTGAGTGACGGCTGCTGTAATTCTTTGGTTGGAGTAAGATACCCTTCTTTTCCTTGACGTTGGCTCATTTTTCCTGGACTCTGAGCTTGAGATTCATCATTGTTTGTTACCACATCTGGAAAATAATGGATTTTTAATTTAATGTTTAGTATCTTTACTACTACTATAAAGGTATGCAACCAAAATACTACTTATCAGAAGCTTATCTCTCCATGACAATACAGTCAGGCATTTCCCATTCATAATGCAGTAGCTGTTCCCAAAGCATTCTGTGAGTAAAGCACCAGGTTACTTTTCTGTGTTATGGAAGGGTAACATGGCATTTGCCAGAACATATGATGCTATTATTCTGATTAATTCTAAACTGCAGTTAGTCCAATGGGCAGCAGCCAGATTACTAACAGGAGCTACATACAGGGAGCATACCACCCCCCTACTGTGTCAGCTCCACTGGATGCCTGTCCACTTCCAAGCTCAATTCAAAGTGCTGGTTTTGACCTATAAAGCTCAATACGGTTCTGGCCCAATTTACTTGTCCGAACGCATCTGCCTCTACGTCCCACCTCGTAACTTAAGATCATCCGGGGAGGCCCTGCTCTTGCTCCCACCAACATTGCAAATGCGGCTGTTGGGGATGAGAGACAGGGCCTTCTCGGCAGTGGCCCCCCGCCTGTGGAACACACTGCCAAACAAGATACGATCAGCCCCATCCCTCCTGGCTTTCAGGAAGAAAGTAAAATTGTGTTTGTGGGACCAGGCTTTTGGTCAGCAGACATAAATCAGCACTTTCGTGGAAATGGACTGGAAAGGCGATTTACATGAGGATACGATTTTACTGGTGTACAGAAGTTGATTGTAAATGATATGATTATAACTGTATTTGTGTTTGCACTGGTTGCCCTAATGCTGGAGCGGCCTAGCTGTGAGGAGTGTGTTACCATGGAAACGATGCTGGAGAGAACCCTGAGACCCCCCTTTTCTCGAATTAGGGGCGAGCAACCCCTTCGCAAATTGGTGGCAGCTCTTCGCAATTGGTAACTAAGGCTTTTATACTGTTTAATTAATGGTTTTATGTATTTTAAGTATTTTAATGGTTTAATGGTTTTGTTTTAATGGTTATTGTATTTAATTGTGCATATGTAACGGCATCGAATTGCTGCCAATGTAAGCTGTCCTGAGTCCCCTTCAGGGGTAGAGAAGAGATGGGATATAAATACCATAAATAAAGAAACAAACGAACAACAAAAGATTAAGTATATATGGCTTGAAAATATAACATTTGTGCTTCCCACCCAAGAATCATACTAAATCTTGGGCAATACTGACATGGCAAAGACTCATACCACTGACATTTCCCACATGGTCTAGTTCTTTCAAACCACTCATTCACCAATTACCATGTTATCATTTAAAGAAATTACTTATTTTTTTCACAGAATTCTGGATTCTATTAAGGCATCTGCTAGTTTGAACAATAAAAGCTAACTTATAATCATGCATAGAATTTTGAGTATTCCTTTATAATGCTAATACTCATATCTTTAATAAACGTTCACACTAAATCCTATTTAATTTCTAAAATTGAACTTTAGAGAACAGTTGTTTGCATGTCCAAAGCTCTACTCCTATAGGACATTTACAAAACAGTAAACCCTTCAACAAATCATGTTAATCCTCAATGTTTTCTTGCATCTAATTAAAAATTCCATAGAGAAAATGACAAATTTTGTAGAGAATCAGCTTGAAATTTGATTCATAAAAACATAATGTTTAATTTCGAGATAGTGTTGTCTTTTGTACTAATCAATAAGGATTAAATATTTTGGTTCTCTCATATAGTTGCTTCAGCAGTTATTTTTCTCATTTCTAATTTTCTGCACAGTCACATTGCCCTCTAGAGGCAGCACTATTGAAACACAGGTCTTCAAAATATTATTAGACTTGATAGTGTGTGTTATTTCTGTGTATGTGTGCACGCGCATGTATATGCTTCAAGTCATCTGTCAATTTAAGGAAACCATGAAATTCATAGTTTTCTTAGATAAGGACTACTCAGCCTTTGGAAAAATACAGGCATTTTCAGTATTACCATACTGTAATACTGTATCTCCTTTTAAAAAAACCCAATCCTATGAGAGCTGTCTTAAAGAATAGAGAAGGTAACCAATTCTACCTTTGAATGAGAGAATTATACCCATGGACTAAGCAAGTCACATTATAATGGGAATAATGTCTTGTATCTCGATTACTCAGTGTCCAAGTTTATACTGCACCAGAATATTCTCCAGGAACAGAAGACTTCGTTTTCTGTCTGAGAATTCGCAGTCCCCAGCATTGGTGCAGAGAGTGCAAATTTCTATGAGTGCAAATTGAATTAAAATACACCGTGAGACAAAATGAAACAGGAAATCTACTATCACTTGTGCTCAATCAGTCTTAACCAAGATTTTTAAAAAATCAATAAGAAAACAAAAAGATCGGAAAGAGAAATGGCTGTAATAGGACATATTGACAAATTCCAACCAAGACAATGGCTTTTTGGCAGACTGCACATATTAATACAAGCAATACCCAAGTCAGGAACCAGAATAACTCCAGTAAAATATATGCAAGCTTTGGATAACACAGGGAAGTATTAATACCTCTGTGGTGTTTGTTTTGATTTTACTGCACTTTCTGTCCCTGTGATAATTGGATGTTGAAAAAATTGTCTTGTTGTGGAAACAAGGATTGGCAATAAAACTTCAATTCAGACACATTTTCACCATGATAACCCTTTCAGGAGTGAATGTCCTTTTCTAGGGGTAGATTTCTCTCACTTGCTCTTGTCTCACTCACGTTCTTAGCTATGAGTTGTTTGTAACTTGAGGACTGCCTGTGTTTGTATTTCCATCATGGTTATACATATTAACAAAATTCAAACTAGAAAAAAATCCACCTATGATAGAATTGATTGTCATGTCAGCATATTTATTGTTTCAACACTTAAGATTAATAGACTCAATACTTCCACATTGTTAAGCTGCTTAACAAACCTGTATCAGCTTACACAGTTTTTTGAGTCACAATTTATAAGGGTATTTCATTACACAATACTCTGTATCCTACCACACTCTGATATAATTAGTCTTAAAACACCTGTACTCCATTAATATGTCTGATGAAATGGACTGAAATCTATGAAAAGTTTAAATAACTCAAGTAGTTTCAAAGGCGCTACTATATTTCCAACATGCCTCATCAAATAGGTCTTCCCTCCATTCAAAATTCCATATTGATAATGCATCATAATACTGACTTTATAAAATAAAAAAGTGTGCTTTTGACAGAGAATGCCTTACATCTTAACAGCTGCAATAAAAGACTAATAACATACACGATGAGGTTGACACTAATTTGCAATAAGCAGTATATCTAGTTTGTTCTCTTACATGAAAGATGAGGATTGACAAACCTTCAAATTAAGAATTTAGTTATGAGGTGGAGTCTGGGACAGAAAAGCTTTCAGATCTGTAATTAAATGTTTAAAGAAACCAGAAATAGTTCTATTTGCTATATTTGTAAGTAAGTATCATGTACACAATGTTATCTCTGTTCAGTTAATAATATAATTTAGGCTCAGATCCAGTTTCAGTAGACCCATTAACATTTAGAGAATCTATGTGTCAAAATTAGCTTGTGCCTTGATTTCAGTGGTGCTATTTGAATCTAAAAAATAAGACTCTAACTTCTGTGAGATCACTTATGGACAATAAGAAATTGCACTTTATATTTAAAGCATAAGCAAATGTATGCCAATTGTTCCCATAAAGTGTTCATCTATACGGGAGATCGAAGTAGAAACCACATGTAAAATCTAATTATGAATATCCTTGTAGCTTTTCATTGCTTGTGTTAATACGTTTTTGCTGACTAGATATTATGTCTGTGACATTACTGAGATGACTACTCATCTTAATGTGAAGTAATACACAGATATTATAGAGGTGTAGTTTCACATGCTACCATAAGTCCTGAACAAGGTACTATGAAACCAACCTCTCACTCTCAGTAATTCAGGATTTGTAACAGACAAAACATCAGAAGTAGTGAGATAGCAAATACAGCAGACTCTAAGTTAACAGGAACTCAATCGGAATTCTCAAGCAACTGGCAAAAAATAATACTTTAAATAAAGGAAGGAAGACTGCCTTTTCTAGATGTCCTAGTCATCCGTAAACCAGATCAACAATTGGGTCACACCTTTTACAGAAAACCCACACACACAGATAGATATCTACATAAAAACTCCAACCATTACCCAAGTCAAAAAAGAAGCACCATTAAAGCCTTGGCAGACCGTGCAAAAAGAATCTGCGAACCCCACCTCCTCCAAGATGAACTGAACCACCTCAACTGGGCTCTCCAGGCCAATGGATACTCCACCTCCAGACATCAGAAGAGCTGCAAGACCAAGAACAAGCCACGAGAGTCAAGATGAAGATCCACCCAGAGGAAAAGTGTTCCTGCCATATCAAGGGAACCACTGACCGCATAGGGAAGCTGATGAGGAAACACAACATACAAACAATCTACAAACCCACCAAGAAAATCCAACAAATGCTACGTTCAGCAAAGGACAAGAGGGATCCTCTCACCTCTGCAGGAGTCTACCGTATACCATGCAGCTGTGGACAAGTCTACATAGGGACCACCAAACGCAGTGCCCAAACAGAATCCAGGAACATGAAAGGCACTGCAGACTACTCCAACCAGAGAAATCAGCTATAGCAGAGCACCTGATGAACCAACCTGGACACAGCATTTTATTTGAGAACACAGAAATGCTGGACCACTCTCACAACCACCATGTCAGACTACACAGAGAAGCCATTGAAATCCACAAACATGTGGACAATTTCAACAGAAAGGAAGAAACCATGAAAATGAACAAAATCTGGCTACCAGTAATAAAAAATTCTAAAATTGCAACAGCAAAAACAGCAGAGAGAAAAACAGGCAGGGACATCTAATCACCTTTCAAGAAGAGTTTGCTCCAGGCACAGTCAGCCCATTGTATGCTAATCAAGGTGGTCAGTTGAAATATTCACACCTAGCCCAACTTACAAAAGCCCTTTGTCTCACCCTGGTCATTCCACAGATATATAAACCCCCTTTTTTCCCAGCTCCAGCAGACCTCACCTCTGAGGATGCTTGCCATAGATGCAGGCGAAACGTCAGGAGAAATGCCTCTAAAACATGGCCATATAGCCCGAAAAAACCTACAACAACCCAGTGATTCCGGCCATGAAAGCCTTCGACAATACTTTAAATAAAATTTTAATAAAATCTATTTTAGTGGAACAAAGCTGTTTATATAATGCAGTAAAATTTGTCTTTATTTGCTTTTAATTACACTATGTAACAAAATTCAGGGAAAAAATCTGTTCCTAATTTGAACGTGTTATTTCCTTTTTAATTGTGTGGTATGTACTCTGAAAGTAGTTGTTATACTCCAGAAACTTAGCTTTCGTGGCTGCCACAAACTATGTTGAATTGGTTGAGACTCATTGAAAAACTAAAGCAAAATGTGTTGTAGGATGTCCCACAAATACGAAGTTTTTGCAGTTCAAAAAACTTTTCCCATTTTTAATGATAGAATCAATTAGGAAATGGCATTTACAACCTAGGAACAAAAATCATGTTACAGAGTGTTATTGTATTTCAATATTAATATCAAGAATACAGAGTTTATGATATAGTATTGCATGGCATATAGTATTAGTTGGACCTATTTTTAATAGCAACCCGCGAGCATTCCCAATATATTTATCCAATATCTATTCATCCCCATGGGTGTCAATTAACTGAGAGTCTACTACTGTAAATAACAATTAGACATCTATAATCCAGAGAAATGTGTTGAAATGAATAAATTAAATTATTTCATCCAATTGTATTTAGGAACAAGAATATTTCTTTTTCAAAAACAATTGTTGTCATGCACCTTGCCTATACAGGTATAGGGCACTGATGAGTCTTCCTTCATCTGATGTACTAAAAAAGAAAAAAAATGAAGTTCTTAAGAGCAAGCTGGACTGCAATAAAATATTGTAGTTTAAAATGTCCTTTCTCATTGCAATTAGAACTAATGGACTGAGAGTTCTACAGGTCAGAGTTTCTTAAACGATTCCACTCACAAGCCCTTTCTACCTGAGAAATTTGTATGTGATCCTAGGTATATAGGTATATAAAATAGGTATTTAAAAAATTAAACATTTACTGATAACAAATCAGTATTTCCAAGGGTTGCTAAACAGGCTGGTTTTTCTTTTTATGAAGTACAGCCACTAGGTCAGGCATGGGCAATCTTTTTTGCCTTGGGGTCACATTGTGGGCTCCACCAAGAGGGCCAGGTGGGGGGAGGGAAGTCAAGCACATGCTGGGAGGGTGGGCCTGGAAGGGGGTGGGGCGGGGCCCGGGTCATCCTCAGGTTGTCCTCCCGGCACAATGGGAGGAATGTTATGTTGGGAGGAATATGAGACAAGCGGCAACTGCCCAATCCTCCTCCCTTGATCTTTGGGTTGTCCTCTCAACATTATGCCATGAGGAGGGCGAGACAAGCGAGGGCCAAGAACACTTCGGAGGGCACTCAGCTGCTACGTGCCTTCCTTGGGCTGTCCTCTCAGCATAAGGACAGGGCTACTTGCACCGTCCTTATGTCAGGACGAGGCCAAGACATGTGGCTGACAGCACCTCAGAGGGCGCTGTGTGCCTTCTTTCCTGGTCCTTTCTGCATAAGGATGTGGCAGGCCACCGTGTCCTTATGCTGAGACAACAGGGAAAACGAGGAGGGCCTGAGGTAAGTGCCCAGGGGACTGCACCCAGCCCTCAGGCCTTAGTTTGCCTATGGCTGCACTAGGTGATGTTCAGAAAACTTTTACTGGTGCCAAACATTTTGGGATCTCAACACTGAACTAAGAGGACCCAATCTGGGGTCAGGGCCCACAGTTTAAATAGCCATACTGTAGATGACGCCTTAGATCAATTTTCCAGTAGAAGCAAATGCATTTCTAAGAAACTGCCACGCCTTGCTTACTATAGTGACATTTTTCAATTAGTTAAAGAGAACTGCTCCTCGGTTCATTGGTATCAGCTATCTGAGAAGGCATTAACAATGCATTTTAGCAGTCTTCCAACTGTTTGTGCCAGGAGGGGGAAAATGAAAGGAGCCTATTCATCCTTCACTTATCTTCTAAGTCAATTTCTATTACCATTACAGTATCAAAACTAGGGCAGTATGACTTTAAAAAGTAATATGGCGAGGTACAGTGACTATATAATACAATGTTGGGTTTGAGTATGGCTGCTTTTCCATTAAAACACCAATGTTAGCACTGAACATGCTTTTCAAACAGCATGAAAAATAAAACATCCATTTTGGACTAAAGATCATTCATCATTCTGCAGAAAGACTTGCTTACTCATAAACAAATTTGCGTAGATTTAAAACAAAATGTATATGTTGCAAAGATTTGAACTATCCAATGACAGCATTGCTGTGATAAAATAATATCCCAGAAAAAGTCAAGACAGACTTATATATTGTTAAATGCATTAATCAAACATGAAAATGTTGACTGGGTGTAGACTAAATGTGTTTGCATAACAATAATATATCAAAAGGCCAAGTATATGTTTTAAACAACTGCAAGGTTCTTTATTTCTTTGTTATGTAAAGAAAAAAACCCTAACCAAAATTGCTTTCACTTTACTAGTCCAACAGATTTAGACTGCAATATAACACAAAGTCAATCGCTGAAATTAATGAAGCCATCAAAGTGTGTCCAAGATCAGAACATGACATTCACACATCATCAATTTTCAAATACATCAGATCACTTCTCACTTTCACATTATGCTATCTGTAGACAGTAAAGGCTATATTTAGAAGAAGACCATTCTTTCCTTTTGAAAAATTCTATAAATTTCATGATGCACTTAAGTCAACATATGGCCTGAAGTCACATATTTTACTTGTTACCTGGAGTATAATATCACCTTTTAAAGACACATCAGCCTTTAAGTTAAGACACAATAGCATGCACATGCATTTCAGTAGTTGAGTGATATTCTTCCCATTACTTGAGTTTCTAAATTCATTTTAAAATGTTCAGCATTCATTAATATTAGTAAGATGGGGAGAGGCCAATTAAATCAAGATTTAGCTTTATGAAAATTCAGCTTTTCAGAAGAGGTAGCAGAAATATTACTTACTTGAGGGTCCCTGCCAATCTTTGATCTCACCATGATTCTGAAGATGCGGTGCAATTGAGTACGAAGTACAGCAAACAAAAGCATCCAGGCCAAAAAATGGGGAGGGGATGAGCAACATGAGAGCCACAATAAAAGGGAAAGAAGAACAAGGGAAAGAGTATGTTAGTCTGGAATTAAAAATGCAACATGACAGAATTTTAATCAAGTAGCGCCAAAATAGGGGAAATGAAGCAAAACAAAAATCCACACAGGAAATAATGCTTAGCAAAGGCAACAATTAGCTATGCTAGAGTTAGTAAACAGCCCATATACCAATATTTTTGAAGTTATTTCTTATAAGGTATCATGTAACATGTCCAGTTTATTTGTCCACTCAAATACTCTAGCTACAGAAAAGAATGGAAGATTCATTTGTTTAATAAAGAAATAGTATTGAGATAGTTATTGCCACTACACTAGAACTCAATCATCTCATTTTCAGTCTGACAGTAGTTTGCTAAAGATTGTTGCAATGTGGCTTTCAAAACAACACATTGTATCCAATGTAGAAGTAGACCCAGAGATTTCACTTATAAAAATGACTGATGGTTACAAATGGGAGTGAAACAACAGGAAGCGAGACAAATCTACCCCTTGGAAGGGAAATAACACTCTTGAAAGATATTACAGGGAAAAGGTGTCTCCACTGAAGCTTTCTCACCAATTCTTGTTTCCACAACAAGCCAAATTTGTCAAAATCAAATTATCACAGGAACAGAAAGTAAGGTGAAATCTTCTGAACAAGGGCAAAGACAGCAAAAAAAAAAAAAAAATACCACAAGGGTGTCAGCCTTTCCCTATGCTACCCAAAGTTTGTATTGTGTATATGTGTGTTTGTGTGGCTGGAATTACACTTTAAAATGTTCTGACATAGAAACAAATTCAACTTAAGAACAAACCTACACAACCTATATTGTTTGCAACTTGAGGACTGCCTGTACCCATTCTCATTATCAGCCAGTGCTTTTGTTAGTGCTTTTGTTTTTCTAATTTTTTCTTTATTAGTCTAAACTTGGTATATATCTTATAAGCACATCTTTTGCATATAAAAGTCTAAATGGTTTAGTATCTGTCTCCTCTAAATCTAAATGAGTTAATATCTGTATCCTCTAGATCAGGGGCCCTCGAACCTTTTAAACAGAGGGCCAGGTCACAGTCCTTCAAACTGTTGGAGGGCCGGATTATAATTTGAAAAAAAAATGCAAATTCCTATGCACGCTGCACATATTTTATTTGTAGTGCAAAAAACACTTTAAAACAATACAATAATTAAAATGAAGAACAATTTTACTAAATACAAATTTATTAGTATTTCAATGAGAAGTGTGGGCCTGCTTTTGGCTGATAAGATAGGATTTTTGTTGTTGTTGTTATTGTGTGCTTTCAAGTAGTTTCAGACTTAGGTTGACCCTGAGCAAGGGCCAGATAAATGACTTTGGAGGGCCGTATCCGGCCCCCGGGCCTTCGTTTGAGGACCCCTGCTCTAGATGGAGCAGAGAGAGATCTCTGGTTGAAATTCAGAAGCTGCTGGCATTTGGTGAAGACAATATTGGTCTGGATTGATCATTTCCGCTCCCTATTTCTCCCCTATGTTCTACAATCTCATCTTGGGAACGTTGCCCTAGCAGCACCCCCATCTTTTATCTTTTAAAAAAAGAAAAGGAAGAAATGAATATAGTAAAAAAATAACAAGTGTGCCCCCGATACAGATGGAAAGGTAAAAACAGATTCATCCATCTGAAGAAGTTGACCATAATTTGATTATTTCAAAAACACTGTCTCAGACTATTCACACATCTGTTTAGATATACATCAAGGTGCTTACACAATGGAAAAAGTTATCAGACAGCCTCTGTAACAAATGACCACAAAAATATCTTTAATTTCCCTGACCAATGTTGTCAATTTCCTTTAATATGTTCAATAATAATTCCATGCTACCTTTTTATAGATTGCACAAATATTAAAGCACTTTTTGGTAAAGACAGCTTTCAAAATTTACTGCAACTGGAGAAACACTTGAATTTGGGAGCTAAAGAGGAACCAGTATATTTTGCCACATGATTTGCTTTCTTTGAACTTTGGTGCTCTAATGTGTTTTGAGGAGGTTCCTTGGATATGGATGTTTGTTTTTGCTCTTCCATTCCATTTTTGACTGCTGATTTTTCTGTCTTTTTAGCTGGTTATTGGACTTCAGAATTATGCATAATTGTCTCCTTTTACTCTGCACTGTTTTGGAAACACTGCACTGCCTGTTTACATTATCACTCAGATTTATTAGCAGTCACTCTATAAATGACTCTCTTAGATTGAAAACGGAAACTAAGAACAATAAACCATAAACTTTGGGAATACAATACCTCACTGCTTTGAATTTGTTTGTTCTCCCCTGTGACAGCGATAATTTTTAACTGTGTTATAACAAAACAAGGGACAGCTAAATCAAACAAGGCCTTCAAACAGCTCGGAGTTGAGACTGCTATGGTCACCTTAGTGCAGTGGTTCTCAACCTGGGGTCCCCAGATGTTTTTGGCCCCCAACTCCCAGAAATCCTAACAGCTGGTAAACTGGCTAGGTATATTTTAATCACAGTTCCCTAACTTTTGACCAATGTTCATTACTGACCTTCTAGAAGAGGTAAACTTAGTATAGCATATGAAACTAAAACAGTACATCATTAAATTGATTTTTCTCTACAACTAAAACAGAATTATAAATAATTATTAATTGAAGTGGAATATAACAACAGAATAAAATTTAGCCAGTATGATTACCAATGAAATGAAGCTTTTCTTACAAAATGGCACACAGAAAGAGAATAGAGACAACTGCATTTTAAAGATAACTGCATTTTAAAGATAAGATACAAATACTGTATTAACATCATTACTTACATGACGAAAAAGAGAAGAGAGCAGAACCACTACACTATCACTAACTTCTCAAACCTAGATGAATGCACAATTTCCAACAAGACAGACAGCGAAGCAGAAAAGCTAAGTGAAAAAGCTGATCATTCAAGATTACTGTAATGGCTTCTACGTAAATATTTCAGCACTGCACTGCATTGCTAATCACTTTCAAGTAGCTTCTAAGGAACAGGCTAACACAACCTTAGTAATGTCTACTTCTGTTGTCTCAACTTTATGAAAAGTAGTAAACTGTACACATTCAATCATGCTTAAAAATGAAAAAGCAGCACATTCACAATTTGATAGCAGACATTTTGTTTCATGTTAATGTAGGTAATGTAGGTACATATGCAAGTATTTTTTTAAAAATAAAACAAATTGCCCTAATGTCTCTTTATGAAATGATTTTTCTATCCGCTAAACAAGTGCACACCTACATAATGTATAACCCACCAACATACTGCGTAACATAAACAAATGCACACCTACATAATGTGTAACCCACCAAGCCAAAATAATAACAGTCATATTTTGTACATTGTTATTGTCATCTGACACCCAGTAACAGAAAGTACCAGAAGCAGGTTTATTTCGCTCTTGGTAGCTTTTTTTCAGCTAGATGCAGAACTTCTTTTCTGATGTAGCAGACTGATATATCTTCCTTTCCAAAAATATCAGGGAGTGGCATCAAATTCATGCCTTTTGACTGCAACTGTTTCCTTTTTTTCTTGGAAACTTGTCACAGACTAGCCAATGGCTTGTAAATCATCACTTTAAGTAATACTGAATTACACTACATTAGGTTACAATTATGATTTCAGACTTAGGTCTTGCATTCTTGATGTGGGACCTATCATCCTTATTTTTTCAGTCTTCCAATGCCAGCTATGAACCACCTGATCTTCCTTTTATTGGTTTGATATTGGTAGATTTGATACATAATTTTCAGTGAAAAATTAAATAATAAAGTCACCTGGAATGTCATCAAAGATGATGTTTTACTATAATGCCACCACGCATACATTGGAAGCACTATTCCACTGAGGTGCTGCCTTCTTTAGTTTTCTCATTTACTGGCTCAAACCAACTTTTAGTTCAAACTACTGTTGTTTTCCTCTACCAAGAGTTTCAAATCAAAAGATGTAGATTGACAGTAAATTATTATCCATATATAAAAGTGTATTTCAACAGATAGGACAGAATATTCATTATTTTAAAACACTGGAAAAGAAGAGGCCAGTTCCTGCCATTTTACTGCACACTTCCCAAGAGGACATTGGAGTTACCATCTACTAGCTTTTATCTTTGCCTCTTACTACCTGTAAAAGAAAACAGAAGTAATCCAGTCTGTCATGTTTACTGAAATCTCTCTATTATGTCCAAATTTATGCAAAAAAAGGTCTTAAAAAGGGGGGGGGGTGATTTTGGAGGAGAGCTCGGTTCTTTCCCCGCTTTCCTCAAGCCTCAGGTATTCTAAAAAAGTAGATTGCCAATGTGTCATTATATAAAGCCCCTACTGCAAAGAGGGAACAGATCTTTAGTTTGCTGTCAGTGTTTAGTGTGCTTTAGGAAATGCCTCTTCTTTTGATCTATCAGTTGCCAGCCACTTTATACAAAATTACTCACCGAAACTCTATCAGGTTCTCCTTCAAACAAAACAGTCTCCATTCCGAAAGAGAACTTGTTTTTCTCTTACAATTTTTCCATTCTGCAACCTACAAAACAACCAAACAATGAATTATTGACTATTGTTATCAACTTTGAAGAATAATGCAATAATACACTTTATATATTTTACCTCTACAAAATCTAAGCACATACAATATTTAAAGAGAACACATTAATAAAAAGACATAAGAGATAGTAAAGAAATGTCCAAGTTTTGTCTTTTGGTTACACTGCATAGACTGTATCAACATACGTAATGGAAGTACTAGGCTTGAGTCCAAATCAGTTTGAACAAAAATGATTTGTAATATTCAATGATTATATAAAATATCCGCAAACAGAATGGGGAGGAAGGAGTCACAAAGCCTGACAAAATGGCTTAAGGGAGCCAGATTGTATCAGTTCCTGGAGAGGAAGGAGTTAAGTCTGCAATATACCTGAGGCAGGGATCTGCCCATCTAGTCTTTTCTCCTTTCCCAGCAAAAGCAGCATCCCTCCATTTCTTTTTGGAAAGTTTCCTCCTCCAGAGAGGGTACTGCTGCCCTGCTGGGAACTCACTTTCCCAGCAGCACTTGCACAGGGTGGGGATTGAAAAGTATGAGTTCCTCTCAGGGCATGATAGGAGTCTAAGTTTCTCTCTCTCTAGTTTCTCAGCCAATAAAAAGCCTGGTTGTGTCCATGCTCTGATTGGCTGAGAATGGACACAACCAGGGACTACAATTCCCAGAACAATTTGTCTTATTTTTAAAAATGTTATGTTAAAACTTAAAGAAATTCTAAACAATCAGTAGATTGGTGAATTGTTTTGAAACTTGGCAGGCCGGCAGTTGCCTAAAACTGAGGTAGGTTTCATGCAGATAGGCCTTTAAATGACTGAGGGTTAAGCCTTTAAAATTCCCCATTGTAGCCAATGGGCAAATCTTTGCCAAATGAAAGCGGCAACATCCCTCCGCATTCGAGTAATTTCTCAGTAAACAGAATGAGGGGTCAGCTGACAATGGACGCTGAAACTGCATGCCTTTTGGTCGAATTGCATGTCTCTAGGAAATACATTGTCAACAATGATTGTTTTAGCGTAACACATAATACAGGGTGAGGCAGCATAACTTCTTTTTTTTAAAATGTGTGCCATTCAGTTGGTTGAAGACGTAGCAGAGCGCTAGTGGTCTCGTTCGAGAGGCGGGAGTATAAAGTTTTGTCCTGACACAGTTCAGTCGCCATCATGCATTGGAACTGTGAGGAGCGTGCTTTTGCCGTTGAGACCTACTTTTCGAGCGGATTTAGAGTGGCTAGCCCACTCTCCAGATTTGGCCTCTTGTGATTTTTTTCTATGGGGTTTTTTTGAAATCCCGTGTTTATGTGAACCGTCCAAGGACCCTACAAGATTTGAAGACCAACATCCAGGAAGAAATAGCCAACATAACGCCTGCTATGCTGGCAAGTGTCATGACAAACACCAGAAATCGGTTTACTCAGTGTATGGAGAATGGAGAATGGGGGACGTCACCTACCTAATTTGATCTTCAAAACTACATAAAACTAAACTTTAGGTATGTGCCTACATTATAAAAAAATAAAAAATTCTGATTCATACAATGGGTTTTATTAAGTTTTGAAAAAAGAAAGTTATGCTGCCTCACCCTGTATATTTTGTACTGGTCAAGTTTATGGACACATTGTATTTGCTAAAATTGCTATGACTGTTGGCTTAATGTAGATAAAACTATGCTTTGCTCAAAATTCAGAACAAGAAGTGCTATTCAGTAATGTCATTGTAACAAAACTTAGAAAAAAGTTTTTAAAATCAATGGCTTTTTATTAGTATATCTGTAAAGTGACAAAACAAAAAGCAAAGCAAAATGTGTATGGTAGGTTTCCTCAACTTGCAGCCATAAATGTCTTGAGGTACAATCAACTCCAACATGGCATGGACAATGGATCAGAATTAGGGAAACTGTAGTCCAAGAAAAGGTTCCCAGGCTTTCCTTCTCTGTTGTTTCCATTTTCCAAATAATTGAAACAACTGCAAACTGTAGGCCAGGTAAGAGAGCAGGCTCCTAGTTTTAATCAATAAACTACAATAAGGTCAAAATCCTTTCTCTCTGATCATACCCTACTCTCTTGTTACTCACTCCGCATTCTAAAGTTAAGTTATACAATTATAGTCTCAGTATTCTCTGAGCCAGTAAGTTTTAAAGATTAGATCTGATTTTGGACTGAGTCTTAAGTTGGGTTTTTACATCATAAGAAGCTGTAATTTAAACAACATATCTTCATCAATATTGAATAATGGAAGGAGCAAAAAGCCCACTTTGTTTCTGAACTTTTTTTTGTCATGTCAGAAGCGACTTGAGAAACTGCAAGTCGCTTCTGGTGTGAGAGAATTGGCTGTCTGCAAGGCCATTACCAGGGGACGCCTGTATCTTTGATGTTTTTTATCATCCTTGTGGGAGGCTTCTCTCATGTCTCTGCATGAGGAGCTGGAGCTGATAGAGGGCGCTCATCCGTACTCTCCCAGGATTTGAATCTGCAAACTTCAGTGCTGCCGGCACAGGGGTTTAACCCACTGCACCACCAGGGGCTCCATATCCATTAAACTATCTATTAGTTTCTGAACTAATCAACAATGTTTCTCAGAATAATATTCTCTCAACTAAGCATAATAACTATGACCAACCTTCCAGAATTCTGACTGGCTGCTATTGAAAAGATTTTTTTCCTGGAAAGCTCAGAAGCAGATACCACCTTAGTATATGTTCATAGTACTCTGTATTAACTGGTGTATTTTTTCTGCAAATGAAACTCTCATTGAAATGCAGCAGCAACTGGTAGTGAAGCATCATTACAGGGCAGTATTTCTTTCGCCAATGGTATGAGTTTTTCACTGAAATGGAGACTTCTTGCTTTCTACTAAGAATTTTACCTCTAGGGCTTTCCTGAATAATACTGAAGATGGAATCAAAGAATTTTAATAATCTATGATTGTTCATGAAAATATATAGCTGAGGGTCACCTAGTAAGCAATTGGTAAACACTGAAATTCCTTTCTAGCAGAAACTGAATAACATTGCTTACAAAAACAATCCATCTGGATTGGACAGATTAATTGCAACACTGGTTTTTTTCTCCATGAAAAAGACATAAGAACATAAAAGAGCCCTTCTATTTCAGACCAAAGGCCTATCTATCTCCGGGTTGTCAAGCTCTTTTCCTCAAGGATCACACTGGCCTTATGGTTACCTTCAAAGGGCTGTTAAATCCATGGGCAGAGAATCTATAGACACATAGGACCAACTATAATTTTTAATATAGTCATCAGTACTCTTTAGGTTTTACCCAATTTGTGTCCTCAGATGTTACTGAACGATAAATCCCATCACTTTTAATTATCCACCATGTGGACAGGGTATAATGGGAATTGCAACCCAACAGCACTTGTGATTCTGAGGTTTGGAAAAGGCTAAAATACATTTTTGAATACAAACAATCTATCCACAAGCCTCATATCTAAATTCAAAGTCCACTATTCAGATTAAACTGAACAAACTTCAGCCTTCCAGATAGTACTATATCCCAACTCTCATTAGCTCTGGTCATGGTGTCTAATGATCAAGAATACATGAATTGTAACCCAGCAACTTGAGGGCCTCTTAAAATGACAGGGTGTGACAGATTTGGCCCACAGGCCTTGAGTCTGACACATGTGGCCTATCTAGTCTAATACTGCTCTTACAGTGGGCAAATGGCTGCTTGTGGGAAGCTTCATACAGGATCTAAACACTACAGCAGCATCCTCATGTTTTCAATAATGTGCATGCTGCTTCTGGTACTGGAAGTAATTTACAGCTATCATTAAATAAAGCTGCTGATGCCAGGGAGATTAAGAAAAGGATGTGAAATTGCATTCTTCCCCTTCAGGTGTACGTCTTTTCCACCTTTGCTAAAATGTATACATAAGTTCAAGTGCTGTTTGGGAATTTATTTTTACCCAAATTTTTAGGTTGCTAGGAAATGCTATATAGTTTTAGTCATAGTATATGTTTATTCGACCTTCAGATTTGTTTTGTAAAAATTCAACAGTTCAAAAACATTAACAGGGGGAAAAGCCCACTACCACAAAGCAATGCTAAGAGAAATAGAGCAAGTTGAAAACAGTATTGACAGAAAGCTGCTGCAGCAGGTTTAAATTTCAGAAACTTTGGGTAAATTAAAAACCATTGTTTATATGGAATTAGATTTTGTCTCAAACAGACTTCCTGGGGAAACAATATCTTAGAGAGGACCATAGCTGAAGAGATCCTTTTTTAGTTACTACCTGCCAATATTATGATGAAAGGGCACCTAGAATTAGGCATGGGACTATTCTAATATCAGGTTCATGTAGCGACTACTAGGTCATGAGATGAAGACCACCTCAGGAATGAAAACTGATGTGTAGGAATAGAGATTACCAGAATTATATATGCACAAACTCAACATGTAGAATTCAGTTCCCCTAAATTACTGGTATGCATGTCAAAACCAGAAAATGACTTCTTATCTTGTATAGTTCACTGGGTCTCCAACAAGCAAAAAACCCACCGAAACAAAAACCACAAAGACAAGAAGGTCCTGACAAAAAAAAAAACAAGAGCCCGAAAATGTTCAATAAAATGTTACCAGAAAGGAAATAGAAGCATAATTGAAGCGAAGCTTATAAATCTTTAGTCAGCCTCTGAACATGCACGACTGTCACGCTGAGAAGCTTTCCTCTATATGTCTCTGGAATCACTTCCCTCTTTATGAATTTTGAACAGGTAGACAGGCAAAAAAGGCTGCAACCCTTTGGGCAGAATTTGGTCCATTTAGTGATCCTTCCTTGCATTATTCCTTAGGATTCCTGGCGTACCAGTCAAACATCTGCACTATTATACGAAATGCTTAATCACTGTGAGAGTGCAATACTACTATTTTTAGCCACTCTATTTTGTTTTATAAGCAAGAACAGCTTATTTCCAGATAATCACTGCTTCCTCTCTTGCCAACGCCAAAGTATTTGCAACACGTT